GGGGGGGGCAGCTGAGGGACATCCATAGGCCCCTCCATGCTGCTCTGAGTGGCATGTGCTTGTAGCATAGAGGAAATAATTGAGTCGTATATCAGAATAGATAATAGATGGAAAGGCGGGCGGATAATTGGAAAAGACAAATGGCCGGGGCCCAACATCACAGCAACATTAATTTTATTTAAGGACAGCAAATTAGAGGGAGCACTTCGCTTCCTATCACCTAATTATTTTAGGTAATGGAAATGCTTAATGTACTGTGAATACAGTGCACTGCAGAATAAATAAATACAAGGACCCCACCCTTGGGGGGAGCTGAGGAGCTGGGGTGTGGGTTGGGACCTCACCAAGCCTCTTCTTGCCTGCCTGGCCAGGAACCAACAGTACCAGCAGCTTTCCAAGCACGGCTGTGCAGGGAGCCAGGCTCGTGCCTGCTGAGGCTGGGGTGAGGGGAGGCTCTGGATTCACCCTGTCCTGCTACAGGTGGGGCTGGGTGCTGCTTTCCATCTCCTCTCCCCAAGGGAGCAGGCAGGGCTGGCCTGCCCGTGCAGGTGTGCTCAGCCCAGCTACCTGCGTCCTCCCCACGATATGATTTTCTTCTTTCTCCCGTCTCTGGGGTTAGCTTTTGCAGACAAATTAGCTTTGATCTCCCAAAATGTCATTCTCCAATTAAGGGCAAAATCTAGTCAAGTTTTACGTCTGAATTCATTTTCCAAGCCCTCACTCCATTAAGGGCAGCTGAATGAAAGGCTTTGAAATGTAATTGCTGACTTGAAATCCGATTAGAAATGGAAGCAGCAACGTCTAGAAGCAGCCGTTGAGATGGAGCAGCCCCTGGCTGCCCCACGCCAGCGTGGGCATCTCTCCTTGCCCTGACTGCAGCTGCCTTGACCTGTCAGGGGCTGCATGGGGACAGGGCTGTGCCTGCTGCTCCCAAGTCCCAGCACGGGAGCTCGGGCTCCTGGCACCTCCACACACAGCAGTTTGGCAAAGTGTGGGATGGGTGCTGCTGCTTCCCATGTGCCATGGCTCTCCCTCCCCTCTCGGCAGGTATTTGGGTGATGGGCGCTTCCACCTGGAGTCCATCATGATTGCCAACCCAGGGATTCCTGCCTACAGGTACGGGCAGCACAGGGATACCTGCTCACAGGTACAGGCAGCCCACGGGCACCCACTCTGGTCCCCAACAGCCCCAGGGTGGGGAGCACCCCAGGGAGCAGCTGTCCCCACCATGCACCCCAGGAGCACTCCCAGCCCCAGAGCTGGGCAGGCAGGTGCCTGCAGTGGGTGGGTGATGAGGGGGCGGGGAGGTGCACACCGGCCATTTACTCCGGCTGAATATAAACATTTTGACAAGTACCTGGGAAAGCTCGTGGAGGTGCAGCCATTAAAGCCCGGCTGCTGCAGGCAGAGGCCATAAAGCGCGATGATGAGGCCGCTGAAAGCAGATGAAATATCAAGAGCAAAAGGCTGGGACCATTTGGTGAAATCTGAATTTCTTAGTAGGTCGTTTGTTACTAACGGGAGGCGCGCGTCAGGTTTATGGCACCGGGGGAGGCTGCTGAAACCCGAGTGGGGTTTGATTGAAATTCTCCTCGTCAAACAAAGCAACAAATCAAAGATTTCTTCATAATTGATGAGCCAGGATGAGGTGTGGGGGGGGAAGCTGAGCGTGGAGCCAAGCACAGAGCCCAGGCCGTGCCGGTGTTGGGGGCTGCTGGGGGACACCTGCCTTAGCCCTGCCCTTGTGCTCCCTCTGCACCACAACGAGCCAGCTGGGCCCTGCCTCACTGGGGGGAAGTAATTAGTGCTAATGAGGGAGGGGCATAATATAGGGGGAGGAAGGTGATGTGAGCCATACTCTTTGCAGGTACGATCCCTACAGCAAGGTCTTCTCCCAGGAGCACTACGGGCACGAGGACATGCGCCGCGCTCGGCAGGACGACATCTGCGCTGCCGCCGGCGCCCGCTGCTGGGGCCTCATTTTGGGCACGCTGGGGAGGCAGGGCTCTCTTGGCATCCTGCAGGTCCTGTCCTGTCCCCCCCCCCTCCCCAGGGGCCCCTTTGGGCACCAGGAGCTGCTCCTGGGTGTGGGGAAGGACTGGTGAGCAATGGTCTCGCTGCTGGGGTGTACGTGGATCTGCGCTGGCAGCACATCGGGTGCCACTGGCTGGGGTCTGTGTGGCTCAGGGCAATTAGCAGCCAATAAGAGAGGTCAGACAAGGGCTCATTAAATCTGCCCCTCACTGGGGAGAGCTGGCCAGCCTCAGAGACCCCCTGAGCACCGGCAGCTTGGCAATTAATTCCCTGGGTTTGTTTTAATTGGATGAACTTCTGATTGGGTTCACTGTCCCTGCTCGGCTGCTGCTTTCCACACCAGCTAGGCAGGGGGAGCAGGACCTCAGTGTTCTGCCTGAGCACAGTGGCCCCTCTCACACCTGGAAGTTTTTGGGGAGCCACAGATGAGATTTGGGGCAGCACAGTGACCAGTGGGCTGAGCAGGGAGGCAAGGTCCTGGCAACCACTGTCCTGCTGTGGCTTCAGGCAGTGGGGGACAAGGACAAGGACTTCCCTGTCCCCTCCTAGGCCTCTCTCCCCTCCTGCAGCTGCTGGGCACAGCCAGGTGGGTGCCCTGGGGAAGGCAGTGCTAATGAGAACAGATTGTTGTCATCGAGCGGTAATTACTTCATTAGGCTGAGGCACGGGCTGGGAAAGCTGGGCTGGAGCCACGGCCGTGGTCTCTGTCATCGTGCCACCAAGGGGACGTGGCCTTGGGGCAGAGCTGGGACTTACAGAGAGGCTGGTGGCCAGGAGAGGGCTGTGGGCAGGGCTGGAGGGGCTTGTAGGGGGGGTGGCATCTGTCTGGGCTCCCCTGACTCCCCCGGGTGCCTTTTCCCTGCAGCACCTGGAGTCGCGTCTCCGCGCCCTGGGCCGGCCCTTCGTGCGGGTGCTGCTGTCTGAGATCTTCCCCAGCAAGCTCCAGCTCTTCCCTGGTGTGGATGCGTGAGTGCTGCTGCCCCCTCCACCCCTCCCACCCCTCCTGGAAGCCACCTCTGTCACGTTTGCCCTGCTGCCACCTGGGTGGGCTCTGTCACCATGCACTCCCGTGGGTGCTGTGCCCGTGGGGAGGGGACAAAGGTGGCAGGGACATGAGTGTCCTTGGCAGAATGGCTCTAGCACAATGGGGACCTTGCTCCCTGTCCCCTCCACTCTCTTCCCTGTGGGGCTTCATTCCAGCTTGTCATTCCCAAAACACTCATCCCCATCCCTTGCTGTGTGTTTCCCTTCCAGCTGGGTGCAGGTCGCCTGTCCCCGGCTCTCCATCGACTGGGGAGAAGCCTTCAGCAAACCCCTGCTGACCCCCTACGAGGTGAGCACCCACCTCCCGCTGCCTGGGGACCCCCC